AAGAAAGAAGAAGAAGAAAGAAAGAAGAAGAAGATGATGTACTCCAGCATAGACCAAAGATAAAGCTCTTCTTCTTCGCCAGCCAATCTCCTCTTACTGTCTCTTATACACATCTAGATGTGTCCCCACTCCAACCCCCACTCCAACCCCCACTCCAACCCGCACTCTAACCACGACTCTGTCACAGCCACTCTCATCGCACTTTAACTCCCACTTTCCTCACCCGATGCGGCTACCGGCACTCACACCCCAACTTTCACCCCCAATTTCATCCCAGTGGGGCCTCGATGAACTTTGTGTAAGTAATTTGTCTTTGGGTCTCTCGCCGGAGTACTTCAACAAACATGAAAAATAGGGCATGCATATGAGAAGGTGGCAAGATAAGTTCTCTAGCATAAGTACTGCTACTTCTCCCGAATAGAACATACGGTCATTATCGCTGTCTCTAGACTGAAAGTTGCCCCAAATACAGGCATAATGACCGTTCGTTCTATTCGGGGGAAGAAGGTAGTAGCTGGAACCACGCAGGAGTGATTGCACAAGGTCGAACTGAGTTTTATGCAGTAGTACTTGTCGAACGGCTTTTGATGTTAGACTCTCGCAGTGTGGTTCTCATCAATCAATGAACTGAAAACACCACAAAAGAGTTGGAAAGCATGACTGACTGGGCTTTTTTTTTTTTTTTTTTTTTTTTTTTTTTTTTTTTTTTTCTTTTTTTTTTTTCCGCTTGTGTGTTATTGATGCTCTTCTGTCACTCCTTGACACCTGTGCTCTTCAGCGCAAGCACCGCATCGTGCTCAAAGAGCTGCCAGCAATGGCGGAAACAACCACGCTTCCGAAAGCTCGGACTTTCAGCAACTTCCATCGAAAGATTCGAAAGGCATAGCGACTGGGAATTTTATTGTGCAGACTCTATCTATCTATCTGTGTCTGTGTCGGTCGGTTGGTCGGTCAGTGTTGTGTACAATCAATCGATCGGTCTTGTCTACCGATCTATCAATCCTATTTATCGATCGATCAATCCTATCTACTGATTGGTCGATGCTCTCTCTCTCTCTCTCTCTCTCTCTCTCTCTCTCTCTCTCTCTCTCTCTCTCTCTCTCTCTCTCTCTCT